GTTCACTGATTTGAACATCAGTTTGATTATTTCAACAATACCATATTGTGATAAATATCCAAATTATTATAATGATTTCAACAATTTCACCTCACCCTATTTACTCACGTGATGCTTACACTAGATAATATAATAAAAGTAAAGGAGCAGTGTAATATTATTAAATAGTTTCAGTTCACAGCGAAAAGAGGTATGTATGTCTGAAATACCATCGAAGACCATCTCAGATACAGTGTCTTCCCTGTGTCCACACCTCAAGTGGATTTGGTGTTGATTGATCAGCAAAGAATAACATTTTGAATTTTGTTATAGCTATCAATCCTCCTCCTCAATCCTGAGATATTTTCTCCTGTCTGAACAGATATGCCCGCCGCCTGCACAAGACAGTGCGTCGCTTGGTCCCAGACTCAGATGTCCGCTTCCTGCTGTCTGAGAGTGGGAGTGCGAAAGGCGCAGCCATGGTGACAGCAGTGGCGTACCGTTTGACGGAGCAGGCGCGCCAGATTCAGGAGACTATGGCCGAATTCCGACTGAGCAAAGCGCAGCTGTTAGAAGTGAAGAAACGCATGAGGATGGAGATCGAAAGAGGCCTCAAGAAGGACAGCCACAAGGAGGCAACAGTCAAAATGTTGCCTACCTTTGTCCGAAGTACACCAGATGGAACAGGTACAACTTATAAACACTACATTTACAAATCTTTAAATCCTTTAAATATAGGTGTTGTGCGCTAAGCCCAGAGTTTCACCACAAGTATTCTAGTGGAGGCATACTGCCTCACCTGAAAAAGAGTCGAGTTTCAAATTTTTGTTCACAAAGTGGATATGTGAGAAAAACTCACTGCATAAGCAGAGGACCTCAAGCAGTCAAACATCAGTTTGATAATCAACAACTGGACATGTATTGTCTTATAAATTTGAAGTGAGTTTACAGTGAGAGAATTGCATTCATTGCATCAGTCATTTTTCCACCAAGCTATTTCCTGAAACACTAAGGAGACACCACAGCTTTTATAGATGTGTTGATCAGGTTTGTTGGGTCGCTCGTGTCCCAGTCGAGATCAATCATACCATGTATTTCCGCTCATATTACCAGGTTACATTTCGGATGGCGAGTTACAAATTGCACAGTTAATGACTTAACAGTTCAGTGAAGGCTCGCTCGGTAGCATTTTTAAGCAGTTTGTCTATTTGGCAATTTTATTTGTATTATCAGATGTAGTGAGCAGGTGAGTCAGGTTCTTCCACGTTATGTATAGGCATCACTTGTCTAACTTATCTTGGCAGCGAAGCGATTAACATCACAGAACGAAGTTCTGACAAGTACAAGAATATGTCAAGAGGAACTATTTTAGCAGTAATTCTCAAAATGGCAGTAAATAACTTCCCATGTTTGAGTCAAAGTAGACTTCCATGCGTTGAAATTGTATTATTTAAGCATCAGGGAGCAGTATTTCTTCTAAAAGAAAACCCACATAATGGAAGAAACCTTATTCAGTGGTGACAGATGAGGTTTTGTTGGTTCTTAGGCTAACAAGGCCTTTCTTGTAATACAGAGAACGGAGATTTCCTCGCTCTGGACCTCGGAGGGACAAATTTCCGTGTGCTCCTGGTAAAGATTCGCAGCGGGAAGAGGCGATCGGTGGAAATGCATAACAAAATCTACGCCATTCCCATAGAAGTCATGCAGGGGACAGGAGAAGAGGTAATGATTTTCAGTTCTGTTTGAAGCTTATTGCTGCTTGCACTAGAATTCTCATTCATTTTGAACAGAAGTCTTTTCTGCCTGGAAATAGATCTAATCTTGTGCTTTTTACTATTTTTGACATAGATTTATTCCCATTTCTGCTTAAATCGCATAACCACAACAATATTTGGATGCATCTTAACGTTTTTGTTTCGCCACAGAAAATAAAGTGATAGCCAGCCTAACCATATGTGCCAGTATACAAACCACTAAAAGCATGTCTCTTTTCCAGCTCTTCGACCACATTGTGCACTGCATCTCCGACTTCCTGGACTACATGGGAATGAAAAGTGCTCGGCTGCCACTGGGTTTCACCTTCTCCTTCCCCTGCCATCAGACCAGCTTGGACGCAGTATGTTCTCTACCAATTATCTCAAAAATAGCACACATTGTTTGCAAAATCATAAGAAAAATCCAGAAGAACCAGACCTGGGTGCCTTCCATGTAAAAGAGGTGGAGCTTACCATAAATACCAGTGCAAAGGGAAGCAAGAAGTTCAAGTAATTAAAGAAAGTATCTGAAGTACAGTTCAGTACAAACAAGGACACATTAGCTCTACTAATCCTCTTCAACCTTTACACTATTATTGTGTTATTATTAGAGTGCTGCACTATGCAAATAGTGTTTGTGAAATATTTCCCAGTAAGTGTTATGTGCTTTGCAGGGTATCCTTGTAACCTGGACCAAAGGCTTCAAGGCCACAGACTGTGAGGGGGAAGATGTGGTGGAGCTTCTTCGGGAAGCGATCAAGCGGAAAGAGGTAATTGCAAACAGGAAGTACATCTGATCATCATTAGATAAGGAGTTACTAGAACAGCAGCAACACAGAAACAGAGACGCTGACACAAACACCACGGTTTCTCCATTGCTTTCCACACCTAACACTTCATGCGACAAATCAAACTTACTGTGGCATTCTTGTGCTACCACAGTAAGACAATTACTAACACAGAGAGACAAAATAAAAAAAAAACATTGTATGATTTAGCAAGGGCTTGCTCAAAGTGGTAAAAACTTAATTAAAAAGTACTTAAACTTTGAAGTAATTAATTCAGCACTGCAAACACTTTATTACTTTTATTTTACAAGTTTGGATAATATTTGGGTAATAATTCCAAGTCATTTTTCAGCTAGTTAATATTAACTTCTGACTGTGGCTTTGCAGATGCACAAGTTTGTTTTTTGTTTGGAAAGTGTTGCCAAGAACATAAAAACTTCATACAAGGTTTTTTGGACCAATGCTTCTTGTACATTTGAGCAAAGTTTGTACTCTTTGGAGCTCTGATTGTTGTCACATGTTGCTTTAAAGGTCTACATATAGAAAGGTCTGACTGACAGACCTTTTAGCTAATAGATGCTGCTGACTGGCTTTCAACCAACCACTGCAGCAATGTTTTTAAATGTGATAAAGTTATTTTATATCTAAAGTCCTTTGGCATGATGTGTTTGTTATTGTCTACCTACTGTACACTACCGTTTAAAAGTTTGGGGTCACTTGGAAATTTCACATTTTTTGTCCATTAAAATAACATCATATTTATCAGAAATACAGTGTAGACATTGTTAATGTAATGCCGATCTGTAATGGAATGTCTAAATAGGCAGAGAGAGGCCCATATCTGTAACAATCAGCCCTGTGTTCCAGTGGCACGTTGTGTTTTTTCTAATCCAAGTTCATCATTTTAAAAGGCTAATTAATCATTAAAAAACTATTTTGCAATCATGGTAGCACAGCACAAAACTGTTGTGCTGATTAAAGAAACAATAAAACTGGTCTTCTTTAGAATAATTGAGTATCTGGAACGTCAGCGTCGTGGGCTCTTTTCTTTTTATGGCTTTTTCTTTGCCGTTCTGCCTAGAAGGGCAGCATCCCGGAGTCGCCTCTTCACTGCTGTACTGTTTTTTTCCCCCTGAGTACTATTTAATGACTGTCAGTTGAGGACCTGTGAGGCGTCTGTTTCTCAAACTAGACACTCTAATGTATTTGTCCTCTTGGTCAGTTGTGAACCGGAGCCTCCCACTTCTCTTTCTATTCTGGTTAGATCCAGTTTACGCTCTTCTGTATAGAAAGTAATACACAGCATTGTAGGAGATCTTCAGTTCCTTGGCAATTTCTCGCATGTAATAGCCTTAATTTCTCAGAAAAAGAACTGACTAGTCTGAAAGTTAGTAGAAAGTTTTTAGTTTCTCAAAAGAAGGCCAGTTTTATTGCTTCTTTTATCAGCACAACAGTTTTCAGCTGTGCTACCATGATTGCAAAAGGGTTTTTCCAATGATCAATTAGCCTTTTAAAATAATGAACTTGGATTAGCAAAGACAATTAATGGATTGCAGTCAGAGTGCAACTGGAACACAGGGCTAATGGTTGCTGAGAAGGGTCCTCTGTACGCCTCTGTAAATATTCCATTACAAATCAGTCATTTACAATATTAACAATGTCTACACTGTATTCTGATCAATTAGATGTTATTTGAATGGACAAAGAAAATAGTTTTTCTTTTGAAAACAAGGAATTTTCTAAGTGACCCCAAACTTTTGAACAGTAGTTATATGTTTGTACTATACTAAACTAATTTTTCATTTCACTAAAGTATACAGTACACATACTTTTTTTTTCCTGCAGGACAAAATTAAGAAATCCAACAGACCTCTTCATAAAATTTTATGTGAAAACACTCACACTCATAAGACCGTAATTACTGACACCTTTGGACTGACCTGCAATTTTGCAGTTCCAGCATAAAGCCACTTAACCCTACCCCCTACTGTGCTACTGTCTGTATATGTATGTATATATATATATATATCTATATGATGAATCTGTTTTGTGTTCAACAAGTTTTGTTTATTCATATGTCATCACTTTTGAGTTTCTTACATTGATTTCACCCTTTTAGATGGAGAATCCAGTAAGTATTAAGTGTAAATCATTAACTGGCAGGTAAAGCAGTGCAGGACTGGAGCAGTGTGTGATTATTGTTGTACTAGCATGTCATAACACCTGGAATATCTACTTTCAGATATTGTGGAGGAGTGTGTGTCTGTGTCTGCAGTGGTGGGGGTCTTATTTAAGCTCAGAATTAGCACAGCGGTGAAACTCTTTTTTTGTGTGTTTGGCAGAGCTCCTGAATTTTGCAGCTCTCTGAAACGGCTTGTGTATTTTATTGTGTAGCCTGGCTAAGAATGTGAGTGAACCGCATTGTGCTCAGTTTGTCGTTTGAAAACTTGCCAGGCTTGATATTAATCCGTCTGTCAACACACCGATTCACCAACAAGTGCTGGATATAAAATGTGGACTTGAACATTTTAATGTTCAATGAAAACCTGGAAAGATAAGGGATATTTAATTATTTTGATGTTTTTTTTAACATCCTTTAGTTAGTTTTAGTAAAAGTAATCATATTTTACCACATAGAGAAAGTAAAAAACTATCTAGCTTTACCGTTCTTATAATTTAAAAAATCTGAACTCTACTAAGCATGAATCTTGAATTGTGAGACTTGTCATGTAGTGATAGTATATAAATTCTTACTGTGTCATTGTACTCCTACCTGTGAGTCATTTTCTTGCTGTTTGTTTTCACAGGAGTTTGAGCTGGATGTGGTTGCCATAGTGAACGACACAGTGGGGACGATGATGACCTGCGCATATGAGGAACCCACCTGTGAGGTGGGGCTGATCGCAGGTGAGTTAAAAACTGCAGCTTTTAAAAGGTAGTTTAATGTAAAAATATGTCATGAAAACTTTAAGGTGACAATATTTAGTAAATAATTAAACTGTGAACTTGTTTACTCACATTTATGTTATATTTACCGTAACATACGGCACCAATAGAAAACACTAATCTACTGTTGGATTTTTACGTTTAAAAACAGAAAGGCTTGGAAAATGAGGTACCATTTTTTGATAATGATGGACTGTGGCTGTGTGTCCTCTCAGGGACGGGCAGTAACGCCTGCTACATGGAAGAGACAAAGAACATCGAGATAGTGGAGGGAAACGAGGGCCGTATGTGTGTCAATATGGAGTGGGGGGCGTTTGGAGACAACGGCTGCCTGGATGACATCAGGACGAAGTACGACCAGGCAGTGGACGACAACTCACTCAATGAAGGCAAACAAAGGTAAGCCCACCTCTAGTATTAAACTATATCTGAGTGTCTTTATTGCGAGTCTGAATGCCTCGCTTACTTATCTACTGCCAAAGCTGAACAGTTAAACACATTGTCCATTCGCTAACAGATTTAAACAAACCAAAAAGGACAGTGTTGTGTTAGTGTAGTGTTCTCTCACTGCTAACTAAGATGTGTTTCTTTCTTATACATGTCAGATATGAGAAGATGTGCAGTGGTATGTACCTGGGAGAGATCGTCAGGCAGATTTTGATTGATCTGACCAGGCGTGGCTTCCTCTTCCGGGGACAAATCTCTGAGACATTAAAGACCAGGGGCATCTTCGAGACAAAGTTCCTGTCACAGATAGAAAGGTGAGTGAATGACTTAACAATAACTACTGCTGGTGACTCATTAGCATTATGATTTTATTAGAGGTTTTTACGAGATTTTCCAAAGCCTACAGTGTGTTTCTCCTACCTCCCATGCCGTATGACAATTAAGTTGGAGAAAAACAAGATAAAGTAGTCACATTGCCGAGAAAACCATGGCTGCTTTCATTGTCGTATTTATAACAACTGTTTAACTTAATTGTATTTGTCAGAGTTGTTACTCAGGATTATTGTAAAAAACTCAAGTGCAAAACCCAGTACGCTAAGACAGGCAACTTAGAGCAATGAAGGATTTATTAACCAAATTTTTAAGAATGAATGAGGAGCAGAGTCTATGTACATGGGGAGTTCGGAGGTTAAGACATGACCAAGAGGAGAGAGAGCAGAGCAAGGCCGGGAAGCAGGTTGAGAAATGGCAGAGGGAGTCCAGAGATCCAGGGAGTGAATTCCGATCCAGATTGAGAGTCCCGAGATCCAGGGATAAACAGGAGCGGGACAGAAGCAGGAATCAGGTCCAGACGGGGCACAGCATCCAGATATTAGCCAAACTTCAAAAACACACAAAGCAGAATAAACAAGGCTGGCACAAGACTAACTATGAAGTCCAGTATATAAAGCAGAGTAGACTGGAGATGATTAGCAGCTGACAACGCGACTGCGACACACCAGATTCCACTGTAATCAAGAGCAGAGACAGGGAGCGAGAAAGAGAGAGTCAAAAGCAAACATAATGTATGATGTATTCCACACAGCTGCATATTCATTTTCATACACTGTAGTGAAATGAATTGGAGGGGTTAGGAAAAAACAAACAAAAAAGCCTCAAACACCAGAAATAGTTTACAGTGCTATAAAATATCTGATATATACTCATTTAGATAAGAGTCTATGATAAAAACATACAAAAACTGTAATATGATCATGAGGATAAGATCAAATAAGCATGTGCATGAGCAGCATTGCTCACAGAAAAGTAGCATCTAGGGGGATAACTCACCTAGGTATGGGGGGGGGGGGGGGGTGCAATGTGACGACTTGAGTTTATACACTGTTTAAGCCTACCTTAGCCTCTGGGAACAGCTGTGAGGTATCCGGTGACTCTCCTGCTGTTGGCTGACCTCTGACACGCTCTCTCGCCCCCACCCTTCCTTCTCCACAGCGATCGTCTGGCGCTGCTGCAGGTCAGGGCGATCCTGCAGCAGCTGGGGCTCGACAGCACCTGTGATGACAGTATTATCGTCAAGGAGGTGTGTGGCACGGTGTCCCGCCGTGCGGCTCAGATCTGCGGAGCCGGAATGGCTGCTGTGGTGGACAAGATCCGTGAGAACAGAGGATTGGACCACCTGGATATTACCGTGGGCGTGGACGGCACGCTCTACAAGCTGCACCCACAGTAAGACGCAGGATAAGAACATAATAGCAGTGTTTGGGGGAGAAGGGGTTCATTAATTCTTAAACACTACTGCACATATCAAATTTCATCAGGCTGCATAGGTTGGATCTTTTTTATTTTCTTGTATGACTCATTGTGAGATGGCAGTGAGTGGATGGCACTTGCTGCAAATGACAGAGAACTCATTAGTGTCATGTTTTTTGACACAAAAAAATATTTCACTCGACACAAAGGGGGCTGTTAAATCTCAGGACAGTGATAATAAAGGCTCTTCACAAGATCTCAACGGCCTGAGAAACAAAAAGGCAAACATTTGCTGGTTCCAGCATGTTAAAAATTAAGATTTGCTGCTTTTCTCTCTTTTTATATGAGTGTAAATTTGGGTCATTTTGATAAAACAAGAAATTCACAAGCATAATCTTTCATTATTTCCAACATTTCTAACACAGACTGAAGGTAGCAGCATCATTTTATGTAACAATATCTCGGTGGCAGCAGGAGGAGAGGGGTTAATGTTGACGTGCTATTTTCATTTCGTTTAACAAACTAAACTCAGAAACCAGTTTTTAGGCACTAATATTTTTCAATTACTTACCACTTCTTCAAATTCTTAATCAAGGCCTCGCCATGTGTGATTCCATTAGTCTCTCTGCAAGTTATTGGCCACTTTTCATAGAAAAGAAAGCTAGGCACTGCATTTGGTCAAGCCCCTTTTCACAAAAGCAAACAAAGTCTGACATTTTCATTCCACTGTAAATCAAGGGGCTGTAAAGCTTAAGTGGAAGCTGTATGAATGAATGAATGTTATAAGAATCAGAAAGCATCTCTCATTTCTTTGACTTCAGTTGCGAACAGCCTCCTAACCATAGTTTCCTGTTGCTCTCTACCCTCAGCTTTTCTCGGATCTTCCAGCAGACAGTGAAGGACCTCGCCCCAAAATGTGACGTCACTTTCTTGCTATCCGAGGATGGCAGCGGCAAGGGTGCCGCCCTCATCACTGCTGTGGGTTGCCGCCAAAGGGAGCTGGAGGCGCAGCAGCACTGAGGAGCTCCGCCCAGTTAGTCCTTGAGAAGTACCTGCTGTTCCACCGTGACCTTCACTTACCGCACAGCCCAACTTCATCTCCCCTTGGCAGCCGTGACTCCACCTCTGCCCCACCTGCCCCCCCCCCCTACAGCCAGAGAGACGTGCTGCATGCACAGGGCATTAAAACTGAATATCTAAATATTTATTTATTCTTCACCAGAGGGTTTATTATTTCCATGTTTGTACATTTTCCTCAATAACTTGTCAATAATCAAACACATCTAGACTCCTTTGGCGTGCAATACTTGTTTATTGCTAATTTTATTTTTATATGGAGGGAAATATATAGTTGTATTTATATAGCTGAGGCCACTCCCAGTGTCATTAGGATATTGACCAGAGACGCAACAAAAACATGGGCGCTTTTTATATGAAAGTTACAATAGGAGCATTTTAATGTAACTATCAAATGAAGGACGTCCTTCTCACCGAACAAAACTCATTTTTACAGGCTCCACTTGTTCAGATAAACCAGTTCCAAAAGGGCTCGCTACAAAGGGTTGAATGCAAGAGTCACGGCTGTTAAAATCATCCTCATTTTTTGTGCAACATTCTCACACAGTGTGCTAGGCTACTAACCCCTTTTTGTGTAACCATCAATGTAACTCACATATTAAAGAGGGTTGAAATGGCCCAAGTGGAAGTGTTAGCGTGTCCTGTTACTATTTGTGAACTACTATATTTTTGGTGTTGTGATGAATCCCACTTCTACTCATTGTATGTGCAAAGAATAAATGTTTATTGGGCCCCCAGAAAAGAGTGGATACTACGAGCGCTTTTGTGTGCATTTGTGGCTGAGTGTTAGTGTGTCCTACTGTAACGACCTGTAGCTTTCAATGTCCAAAGCTCTGTGGAGACTGCATGCCTTACATTAAGACAAAGGAGAGCACTGGATCCTTTTCATTTTCTTTCTTTCTTTCTTTTTTTTACATCAATATAGATTTGTGATCGACAGTGAAAAGTGAATTCATTAAATTATATTTTGTTGTGGAGTAAATCTTGGTGTCTCTTTATTAAACTATGAAGCAGCAGTGGAGTCATGCCTAAACTTGTCAACCTAGACAGGGTATTTGATAGGGGCAGACACATCTTAAGCACAGAAAATGTGGGGCACTTATCTGAATCAAAGGAAGAGAAATTAGTTTTTCATGAAGCTCGGTTGAGGTGATGGAGAGTTTGCTGTAGCTCAGCATTAATACCAATCTCACAGCAGGCAGCTACATTTGTTTAAGGTGGAGAAGTAGTTGAGATTTACATATTTACTGGTAATAGAGCACTATAACTAATAAACACATCTTAAGAAATAAGGTCCTATTTATGTTAAAGGATGCCTTGAAGGGTTCTTTATAGATGCTCTCATTTCAATGAAATGGCATTTATCAGATAACAAGATTAACATGACCCATGTGACTGTGGGTTAATATCATGGGTGCAGATACTAATCTATGAAAGCAACAGCCAATTTCATTTAGAGATAAGCTTTACAATAACCTAACAACAAAATGAATCTTCTGAATGTTTTTCAAAACTTGCTGCAGGTGATGTGTTAAGATAAAGGACCAAAAAATGTTGTTGTTGCTTCATTGCACGATTCTTTAGACTTTATGATTCATCTCATTTAGTCTATAGACGTCAGATAATGATAAAACTCTTATCACGGTGTTTTTATGTCAATCAAGATGCATATTACACATTTGTTTAGGCACTTTCTACATGTGGCACACTTCACACGCATCATATGGGCCTGTAACTGACTGATTCTTACTAGTTTAATTGAGCTTTTTACTGTAAAACAGTCTTATACAGTGGTGTACTGCTTGTACTCACTTCAAGTCTTTGCCATTGAAAGTACTTGTATCTCGCTGTGCTCCCCAGACCTGCTACGACCATAGGTGAAGTTTATCCACAGAACAAGGCTACAGAAAGAGGAGAAAACTCACTATACAAATGTTTTCAGCCCTGAAATACACATTCATACAGTCTGTGTGCAAGCTGTACATCTGAACACCTGACAACGTCTGCAATCTTATAATGGTTTCATTATGGTATAATATGAGTCATTATCACATGTTGCTATTGTTGTACTTATCCAATCCATTTCATTTTATACGCTTAACGCCATGGGCCAACACAGTTTTATCAAATGTATAGATTAGAGCTTAAACAATAGCCTGTGTGTTTTATCCTTTTGTTATGGTATATTTTCTGTGTGGGTGTGTGCAAGTCCATGCATTTGTATGCATTCGTGTCTGATAGCTCTGCTGCATATATAATCTGGGTCTGTGTGCAGGTATTTGTCCTACTTTTCGCAGGGTGTGAGGCTGTCTGCATTAATGTGAGATAAGTACTGCACGTACATTAACAGTTGTTTATGGTTTCGCTGGCGTTAAGCAGGGGAAACTCCACATCCCCTTTTTGTGCCTATCCCTATATGTATACGAGTCTGCGTTTGTTTCCAGCTCTCGCCGGGTTGGGTGCGTTTTACAGAGGGCTTCCTGCTGCATCCATCAGCCTGAAAATGAAACGCGCCGAACTGTCACTGCACATTACAGGTATGTAGTCACGATTAAACAACATGTATTGACTCTGACGGTCAGCTATGGGTGTTAACGTGTTACACGGTCTGTAAAGAAAAGGGTGGCAGCTCGTTAGCTGGCATGCTAACTTTACTAGTTGTGTCTTTGGCAATTTGCGCTAGCTAGCTAGTTATCGAGCTAGGTTAGCATTGTGTTGGAGCGTGGGGGCGAGCGCCGATAGCTGCTTTTGTGTTATGCTAGGCACGTTACCAGCGTCTGTTCGATATTTAACAATTTACGCTGGTGTTTAGTCGATGGTGATGCGCAGTTTGCATCTATAAATGGGTGCATTTCGTGCAGATATCAGTGCGGGTGTTGGTGGGCTAATGTCAACAGCTAACGCTAACGTTAGCTTGTCCCCGTTAACCTGCTCGCTTGTTGCTGGAGCTTTTAACGTCGGCTGGTCAGCAACCTATTTACTGAAATAGGCATTCAGTTAACGAGGTGATTTCATGTTTCTGCGTTTACTACCTCAGTCTTTGTGCGTCTGTTGGCGCAAATGTCAGTCAAATTATCTTTAGTGTTGCATTACCGGCCACCCACTGTGCAGAATAGCCAAATAAACTGACCCGAGGAGGTTTAAGACTCGCGCACGGCACGTGCTGTCAAAACAGGTGTTCCAGATGATGCACGCAACTTATTTGTTGATTAATTAGCAGCTAATTAGTTGTCTCCTCTGACACCTTCAGCTACAGCTGCGTGAAATGAAACAAATCAGGGCTACAACTGTGTTAGCTTTATATAATATGTTGATGATTTATTTAATGAAATTATTTATTTTACTGTATGTCAGATGTGGGGAAATGGTGAAAACTGTCCATCCCAAAATTCAAAGCAAAGACAAATAGCAAATCCTTACATTTGACAAGCTGGAATATTTGGCATATTTGCTTCATAAATAACTTAAATGATTATCAACATTTTTGGTTATTTTTACAAATTTTATTTATATATTATTATTATTGTATTAAAATTCAGATTTATTCCAACAGGTTTTTAACTGAAGCTGGTGGAAATAACCCGCTTGACGTCCCTCTCACTCAGGACAGCAAAGGCAGCTCCTCATACACTTGAACCACCGCACAGCAGCAGTTTGAAAAACTTCTATCAGACTCATGACTGTTTGAGGGGACGAGGACCCACCGTGGCCCATGCACTGTACCCGTTTCCCTCCCTGCCCTCCTTATCCCTCAAGCTGACTCAAAACCCCAGACACCTCCCCCCCCTCCCCCATCCCCACTCCCACCCCATCCCGAGCGACTCGCCCCCTCCCGCCATGACACCCGGCACAGAGACTGTGCACTACATCCACCTTCACAACTCCAGCCAGTCGGTTCTGGAAGCCCTACGCACTCAGCGGCGCGAGGGCCTCTTCTGCGATGTGACCGTGCGGATACATGATGCTTCACTACGTGCCCACGCCTGCGTCCTGGCAGCTGGTAGCCCCTTCTTCCAGGACAAGCTGCTGCTGGGTCACTCTGAAATCTCTGTGCCGCCGCTGGTGCCCGCCGAAACCGTGAAGCAGCTTGTGGATTTCATGTACAGCGGCTCGCTGGTGGTTTTGCAGTCGCAGGCCCTCTGCATCCTCACTGCTGCCAGCATCTTGCAGATCAAGACGGTCATTGACGAATGCACCCAGATCATCTCTCAGAGGAAGGCAGCGGCAGGGGCGGCGAGTGCAGCAGCAGCGGCGGCGGCGGCAGCAGCAGCAGGAGGAGGGATGCTCGGAGGAGTTCTCCCTAAACAAGAAGAGCGTGGTGGGGGGAAAGGGACAGAGAGAGGCGGCAGTGGAAGCTGTTCTGTTAGTGCCGCAAGTGGGGGTGGAGGTTACGCAAACTTCTCTAACTTCATGGCTGAATGCGGGGCTAGTAACATGGGTGGGGGGTTGGGGGGTGCCAGCGTTAGTGTCAGTGAGAGTGGCCCGGGCCCGATGGAGCAAGCCAACACCGTGAGTCTGATGGCGCTGGGCGACATGGGCCCTGGCTCCATGTGTGGCGGTGACGGACTGGGCTCTGGGGCCGGCGCAATACTCATGAAGCAGAACTCCAGCTGTACTCAGGACGTCAGGTACAAGCTCCGAGACCTGTTGGCGCAGACGGCCAACGGAGGCAGCACTAGTAGCACAGGGAACCTCTCGGCAGGCTGCAGCTCCGGTGTGGGCAGTGTGGACAGCATCGGCAGGGACAGCCTCCGCGGCAACACAACTGACCTCTCTGATGACCTGGTGGGGATGGACAGATACAGCGAGGAGGAAGAATTGGACGGGAGAGAGCGGGGAAGAGAAGGAGACAGAGACAGGGGGGCGAGCCACAGCCGCAAGCAGAGGCAGCCGCTAAGACTCCAGGTAGAGGGATAAGGGGAAGGGTTGCCATGGTTACAGCTTTCAGGCATGCAGAGCTGCAACGGTTTGCTTTTCTTTCTTTTTCTGCTGTTCTCTCTTCTCACACTGCATTGGCGTATATCGCTGATATGTTTCTGCACTTTGCACAATCGAAGAGAGGCTCTCGTGTTAACTTCAGCAGTAATTGCCTTGTTGATGTTCTATGGACTTCTGCATATTTACTGTAGGTCGTTAAACTCATTAGTACCTGCTTGAAGGGGCTGTAGCCGGGTCAATGTGCTGTTATACTTACAGCTCCTGTCACTGTTGTAAACGTAATTATTATTTTTTTTTTTATTACTCAAAATTGAAATGGATCTTTTTCTCTCTAGGTGCTGGGAGGAGAGGGAGTAGTAGTGAAAGATGAAGGGGTTCAGGACACAGATGGGACTGTGTATACCTTGCAGGACGGGAGACGAGATGGGGAGCAGGAAGCCTCCCAGGAATCCATGGCAGGCTTCGGACAGGTGAGTTGAACTCAGAGGTGAGCTGCTGCTATGGGAGCCAATGAAATAGACCAACTGATGAAAGAAAGTTGGTAAAACCATATGAGAGATTGTCTAAAGCTTTAATAATTTATCAACCACTGCTTGCGGAAAGACAGCATTCAGAGCATAAAAGATCTTGCAGATTTGAAGTGTTGATCTTTGTTTTCTCTGTGATATTTTAATGGACATTTTAACATTTTGCTTCAGAAGCAAAACTTTTAGAATTACCTTATTTGTTAGATTTATTCGCAGCATTTCTGTCACAAGTCCTGAAGTAAGTAGAGGGAAAAACATGGTGGAGCGGATTTATGCCGCAGCCTGCTGTACCCTGCAGACTACACAAGGAACATCTGCCACACAGTCATAAGGATTCAGCTTTGGCTGTCAGTTTTCTCAAGAGTGCTGCAGAGTAAGTCAGATTGGAAATGGATTAACCCAGTCATTTCAGGAGGTTAAGGCGTAATTTTTTCATGCAAAGCAAAGCATGTGATCATCAATTTAACTAACACTACTTGAAAAAATCTAATCTTCTGTCTAGTAGTTTTCTTGTTCTGCTTGCAATATTTGCTCTTCACTGCTGTGTGTAACACGTTTGTAGGAAAGAAGGTTTACTATTTTACAGTTCATTTTGTGCCTTTACAGAAATATTTATCTTTATACACCGTGATTTGACCCTCTTGGTTTTTATACACAACATGTTTATCTTTAGTATGACTCCACATGTTAGCCAATAAAACTTATTCAAAAATGAATTATGATTGTGAGAAGTAACCAGCCACTATTTTGAGATTGTTTTATTCTAAAAATCATTTTGGATTTATGACATAATATAAGTACGATGAAATATACCATGATGCAAATCTTGTTTTTTAGTGAGATAGTTATCTCTTTAATACATCTGTTTGACCCCATCAATGATCTGATCTGGATAAGGAAAAACGTTAATGTGAGTACACGCAGGATGTACTGCAGTGTGATGTGATCAGATCGGCCAGACCACTTCTGGAGGCGGTCTGGCTCACACTCTGATTGGATCTTAGCTAGATATAAATGACATCTGTACAGTTTTTTAAGAAAAACCCAACATGTTGTCGCCTAATTCCGCCTCTTCGGATATCTCAAGTTGTCCTTCAAAACCATCCTCAGCAGGGAAAAATGATTAGAGCCCACACAGCAGCATTGCTTCGGAAGATTGTTGTCTGACCACTACAATGTGCAGGACGAGGGCCAGATACAGATCGCATGTTAATACCAGGTGGGAATGGGTTTGCTAAGACCAATTTTGGTCAGTGTTGCAAATTAATATGGGACGGCCGTGGCTCAGGGGAGCTGTCGTCCACTAACTGGAAGTTTGTTAGCTCGATCCACTACTCCCTGCATGTCCTTGGGCAAGACACTGAACCCCAAATTGCTCCCAGTGAGTTAATTTTCTGTTTCTGATGAGCAGTTGGCTATACAAATACAGATCATTTACTATTAAATATGCAGAACTGCTTCATTTCAGTTTATTGGATTAACAGCAGTCTATCGGTATGACGAAGTGCCTTGATGTTTCAGATATTTAATTAAAAAAGACCTTACGTTAGACGAACTCCACCCATTTCACTCTTTTTTTCTGGTATATTGGATTGAAATAACAAATAGGTAGTAAATGCAAATAATGAGGGGTGTGGTCCTGTACATGTCTGTTCATGAGAGGAGACACAGTGGAGCACTAAAAATTTGTAGTTAGGTATTTGTTTCTTTACATTTGCTGAGGTGAACACATGCAACACAAAGGAGCTAGAGCACAGACAGGCAGGATCTACACCTATGGAGAAGGTAAGTGTTCAGCATCCGCCTTGAAGACATTTCAGTAGAGTCTCAGTATACATTGTGTGTGTCAGACTTTACAAAGGAGAGCTTTAATAAACATGAGAGTTGTAGATTTGTTTGATCATCAATCTTAAAACTGAAGCCAAAACCACAGGAACTGGTCTCGTCAGATTTTTCATATCTGAGATATTTGAGATGGGATCTTAAATTATGTCTGTTTGTGTTTGTGTGTGTGTGTCTTTCAGGATTTCTACGATGAGCAGGGGGTGTTTTCAGAGAGTTTCTGGCCCCAGAGTGAGCCTCCTCAGGCCATGGCTTTCAACCCCAGAGGAAGAGTCAACAAGCCTCTGACTCCCCCTCCAACCACACAGTCCATCAACAACCAGGTGAGTGTTCTTCTCAGTGTCTCACACGCCGTGATTACATTTAATCTGTACTACAATTACAAAATGTTTCTACAAACTGGGTATAGGGTTAAAGAAAACATCAGATCCATGACCCAGAGGTAGAATTACAGTTACAGAAAACCAATGTATTCTTGACACTAGCAGCCACCAAACCAACATTTGCATCGCTATTAGTTTATATGGATAGTGTCTTTTAATCAACATAAATCAAAATTGAAGTGCACTCAACAATCTGTTGGTCTCGTAGATTTATAAAAATGTGATATCCGATAAGTATCCGGTGTCTTGTCTTATTGTGCCAAGAGAAAATAAATACAGCCAGGTTACTCTTGATGAAATCTGGGATGCTCTTCGGGGATACATTAGAGGAGAGATTTCCTTCTCAGCGAAGGAAAAGAAAGAGATTTTGAAGCTCCAATTCGAAGGTAAATTGTCTGAATGTAAACAAGATTATGAATTGTTAACTTTAAAGGGGGGCAATAATTATAGATTAAATTCAAATAAACCTTTTTATTTATTTGCAGATAAACTGGGTAAGTACTTAGCAGCACAAACGAATATAAGCCAAAACAACTATAGTTATAAAAGATGAGGATTCAAATCTTCATTAATCAAGACTAATACATTTATCAGTAACTCTTTCTGGGGTAAAAATGAGACCCAACTTATTTTTTACACAATAAAAGTGAAGTGGGTTTTATTTATGTAGCCGAATATCACAAATCACACCATATCCTTCTCCTTTGGATCAAGTTGGCTCTCTTATTCATTCAAATGAAAGCATACATGTTTCTGGAACTAAACTACAACCTCTGTTATATTAAAAACCTGGTAAGTCTGGAGAAACATCATCAGACTTTAGACCTATACATTTAATTATATGTGGTAATAACATAATAATTAAACTTGTTAGTAATAGATTAGAAGAGGTTTTAGCAGATTTGATAGCAATTAATCATACAGGGTCCATTAGAAAGATAACAACATGTTTTGGCATAAAACAACATTCTAAATAGATTTATACCAGTGGTGTCTGGTGCTGCTGTCCAAGCATTTGAATGTCTTGAATGGCCTTTTTTGTTTAAAGTCTTAGAGAAATGAGAAATTATTATATAATTTCCCCTTTCCCCTCTCCTTTTTTGCTCTAGCAGTAGAACCGCTTGCAGTGAGAATCCGGCAAGATTCAGCAGTTGCAGGTGTCAGTATAGACGAACATAAATATAAACTTAATTTGTTTTCTGATGATCCTTTGATGTATTTAACTAACTTGGAAAAATCTATATCGCCTTTTTATATATATATATAAAAATCTATTTTGTCTTTATTAAAAAAATAAATCTGAAAAGTCTCAGGTTTTAAAATTTGAGAACAGAAATGCTGGCAGTAGGAACACATAAAGATACAGGGTTCATTAATTTAGACAACCAGTATTATAATCTTAGGGAGTGTAATTCTTCAAACAGAGAGGAGGTGAGTATGTTGTCTATAGACATTTCTATGCCTTTAACTGTTGGGGGGCAGATAGGTTAACCATAACCTCCGCTTCGCGTCGGGCCGAACAGCGCCCCTTAATTGTGATATAATAAGCGTATACCACGGCCTGTCGTGAGCTATTGCTTAAATGAATGAAGGAAGGTCGACTGAATGGAAAGTTATGTGACTGGTTTACCCTCTGGACCCATGGCATTCACAGCATCTTAGAAGACCGGGATAAAGTAATTCAATTCCAAACCTGAATGCTTTGTAAAGTTCATTCTGCTGAGACATCTACTGTATTTCAAGTTTTTGCTATGATGAGGTGATTGACAGAGAGCAGAATTTAACGCAATGCAGCACTAAAACAAAAGAACAATGAAACAAAGATAACACCAGAAAACCAAATGAAAGCTTCAGTTAAAGTGTGATGGACTTTTTTTTTTTTCAAACCCCCACCTACACAGTTTGATTGACAGGTGAAGTGTCTTTGAAAATGAAAGTGCAAAGGAGGGTTTGCATTTGCTTTTGATGTTTTGTAGAGTAGACACATGACCGTGTGGAAATGTAAACTGAACTAATTGAATTATAATTAAATTTTTGTCAACATTAATTTTATTAGAATGATAAACAGCTTTTTAAAATTATGGCTTTAATTTAAATGACAGGGTCATAAATGCAAATTATATATTAGAATTATTAGTACCATGAATGTACTTTTCATAGATGCCATTAATGAAAACATGGGTAGAAACACATCTGAATTTAAGTTATGACATGAAATATAATGAAATTGCAGATGATAATTTTTAGCAAATCTTTTTATTTATTGATTTTGAATTTTTTATAAAGTAACAATAAACAAAACAGCACATCACCAAAAAAAGGATATCTCAACCATTACAATGGAAAGGAGGAAAAACATGCATGTGTAATAGTAATGATAATGAGAGGGCTAACAGTGGACATTGTTTTCAGCTTCTTTTCCAGTACCCAGTGAGCCAGTCGCAGCCAGCTCCGTTCTATGTGGGCGGGCCCATGGGTGGGATTGACAGCATGGCGGGGACGGAGCCCAGTCAGCAGGCTCCACCCCCGGCGCCGATGACTCCGGCCCCGCCTCCCTCCACCTCCTCCTGCTCTGCAGGCCCCTCCCCTTCCTCCCAGGGATCTGAGACCTCGTTCGACTGCACGCACTGTGGCAAATCTTTACGTTCCAGGAAGAACTACAGCAAGCACATGTTCATCCACTCTGGTAAGACACGCCTCTTTCTCCATTTTATTATGCGTTTACTTTTTTTCTTGCGACATTAAAACTTGACGAGATTTATACTGCACAATAAAAACTTTTGACACGTTGTCACGCACACATCAATTTAAAAAAACAACAACATATAACTGATAACATCGACTCGTTGCGTAAATCATCTCCACCCAACTGAAGCGACACCGGCGTACACCATGAAAGTAATAAAGTGGACCCTCCTTGCACTGTCACAGCCAGTTTGTGTCCGAGTGGTAACGCAACTGGTAGAGTTTTGCAGTATAAACATCTAAAAACTGATGCGAAACTTGTTCTGTTTGGAACTGTGAGCTGCACTTTATCCAAGGTGCTGATGTTAACATGTGGAGTTGTGGTGAGGTTTATGCTGATCAGAAGTGTTTTCAGTCTATTCGGTTTTCACCTCGTTGTCTCATCCAGTTCTGTATCTGTGAGACGGTCTTAAAGGGATGCAACCATATCAGCAGCTCAATATGCACGGCAGAGTATAGGGCCGAATTTAAATGCTGATGTTAGTCCTATAATATTAGGACTTTTTTTCTGGACATGTCAGAGAACACAGATATGTGTTTGAGATTCTGAATGTGCAGAAAGTTTTGAACATGAGCAGAAAACCTGCTGAAACACAGGAGCTATTAAAGTCCAGAAGTTTATAACTGAATTAATTAATCTTGTGAGCTAAGTATATTGTCACACCCCTACTTAGTACTCCTTTAATTCACTTGAACACTGACTCTAATATATTATTTTATTTAAACAATGAATCCAATGAAATGTAATGTTAAAGGGGTCGTTACCAGTGACAAACCTAGACAAGGTGCATCAACAGAATGTCTCAAAGGCCTTCTCAATAGCCGTATAATGAAATAGTAAATGAATGATATTGAAACTAACAGGATCCATCCTTGTTGCCCTCAATGAAAGATGATTATCGCCAACTCCGCAGCGCTGTCCCTTCTGTCTCATTGTTTTGGTTTTATAGCACATTTACTCTCTGATTTTAAAGTCTGGCATGGAGCTGTTTTCAGCCAAACTCAGATAAAGTCATTGTACGCTACCTGCCCAGCACTAAACAGCTGGCAGACATCTAACAAGACAGATATTTTTCTCAGGAGTTGGGAAATGATAACATTGCTCTGTGTCTGCTGGATGTGTAAATACGTAGGCAACTGGCTGGTTCCATGTTAGCCACAACAACTTAATAATGCAATAATATATCAAGTCTGTGTGTCTGTGAGCTTGTTGTTGACTGTCTCTGCCCCCAAGTGGCCAAAAACAAACTGTCAGTGCAACTTTAATTTTCACTGCAGCTTTGAACCACAAGCTTCTGAATAGGTCGAGACACACATCAGGATGCTGCTTAGCTTCATATATCAGACTTCTTCTATCTACCTGAACAATCAGAAAAACCTGTAATAAAACTACTGGTAATATTTTATTAATCCATTTCAGTGTTTAAAACATTACTTTCTGATAAAATGTGTGTGTGTGTATATATATATATATATATATACACACACACATATATATATATATATATATATATATATATATATATATATATATATATATGAAAAGTGATTCAGACGTACTGACACGACTGCCTTGTGTGTGTCTTCATTGAGCATGTCTGTCTGTACATTCCTGTCCCTCCAGGTCAGAAACCACATCAGTGCTCCATCTGCTGGCGCTCCTTCTCCCTGCGCGACTACCTCCTCAAACACATGGTGGTGCACACCGGCGTCAGGGCTTTCCAGTGCTCCATGTGCGGCAAGCGCTTCACCCAGAAAAGCTCGCTCAATGTGCACATGCGCACCCACCGTGCCGAGCGCACCTTCCAGTGCAACGTGTGCCACCGGGCCTTCACCCACCGCACCTTGCTGGAGCGCCACGCCCTGCAGCACGCCCACCACGCCCCCCAGGGCCAAGGCCAGGGGCGTGGACCCGACATGACCTCACCTAACAAGCACAGTCCTCCGGCTCTGGGAGGACCCTCAGGTATGGCTGGCGCGGCTGGCATGGTCGGCAGCATGGCCAACATGCCCAGCCACGGAGCTTCCTCCACCTAGAGAGAGAGAGAGAGAGAGAGAGAGAGAGAGAGAGATACGTGGGAGAGAGGGAGGTTAGTGAGCCCATTCCTTAAACCAACTTCTCCTCTGTCCTAACAGCCTTGTTGATCTTTTGTTCTGGTGGGAACAGTGCATATACTGTGAGTTCCTATTGTTTTAGCTTAACGACACTTTCAATCAGGGTTCCTACACAGGGTTTTAAAGTTTGAAAATGATGTCCATTTTAAAGGTGTTTTGGAATTGCAACAAAATCTTGGACAACTAAAAGTTAGAAACCAATCAAGTAGCCCTACTGTCATTTCCTGTTGTGACACTTGTTGGTGTGACAACTAATCATAAGCTACAGAGCGACATTGCTAACAGTCACACACCTTGTTGAACAGCCATCCAGCCAGTTATTTTTTGGTGGAAAGAAGTCTTGAATTTTGAAGTGGAGAATGTGTAGGAACCCTGATTCCAAGACACCAGATAGTCACCAAAGAGGTTAGGAATACAGAGCAGGTTTGGGAGTTGGTGAGGGCGAGAGGAGTCGTAGGCTTTCCTAGGTGGAGGTGAGGGTGGGTTGGGGATTGGGGTTATATGGAGATGCAAGTTAGGGAAAATAAGGGGAGGGATGGGTTGCAGGGTTTTATTCATCTTCAATTCATTTAATTCACGTTAAAAATTGGAGTTAATTCTGTTCTTTTCAGTGTCACATGGTTAAGTGCAAAAACGTGTGAACGTAACTGGGTTTGCTGACAACCCAATCATCTGTCTGCTTGTGTCTCTGTGCTGGAATCTGGACTCAAACATTGTGGCTCGATTATGTAACAAGTGAAGCCTTCAAAACGTTAAAGAATATGATTTTCTGAACAGCTTTGAAGGTAATATTTACACATATATTTAGTTAACATGGTTGGTGAGTCAAACAACTCCATGTAAAGCTCATCTCTAGAACAGATTAACAAGCACAATCGAGCACTTAAATATGGACAGTTAAATTGTCCTGCTTTGTTTTTTCTTTCTTTGTTTTTAGCAGTTTTTATATTAAGGTGTGTATCGGCTGTAGGTGGTGGAAATTTAGGCAAAGACACGCTTGCTGGAAAACCGTAAGTTTTCCCATTTTTGAATATTATATAAAAAATATACCTCTGAATTATGTGAATTGAATGTGAATGAAGCGCAGCGCTATTCAGGAGCAAACCAGGGTGACAAAGAAGGTTGTTGAATGATTCTATGAAGAAGGAAAGTAGTCCGAGCAGAGTAAGACTACAGCAGGGAGGGGAGGGAGGGAGGAGGAGGAGGAGGCGTGATGCACAGCAGTGTGAATGAAATTCACCATCATCCATCAGACAGCTTTGTAACATTTTCCACAGGCGCCACTGATCGGCCCCAGGATCATATACCTCGAACCAGGATGAGCCCCTAACGGCTCGGAGGGACACTATTTTCTCATTTGAAATGTTTGGGAAACATTTCAGCATGTTTTACATACACACATACACACATACACACACACACACCTACCTACAATTACCTCGGTGGTCCAAAGACAGGCATTATGCTTCACATCTTTTAAGCTACATCAAACGAAGAAACAGTGAAAACGAAAGCTAAGATAGATCTGTTTACTTTTTGAAAGCTTACTAAAGTACTTCTATGTAAAATTCCTGTACATCGCTATAACACTCAGTTTATTTGTTGCTCATGTGATTCTTTGATGCAGAAATAAGGCAGAACATTTAAAAAAAAAAACTTTTAAAGTGAAAGAGCCATTCAGAGGAAGTTAAACTTGGTTGAATAACAATGACAAATCAATGATTTTTATTGGGATTTTTATTGAGTGTTTGTGTTTGTCTTTTGGGGCTGGTTAATAATAATAATAAATGGGAAGTGTTTGTTGCTTAAAAAAAACAATAAAAGCTTTTCTCGCAGCACTATTAAAAAAACTTTTTAACATTTTAGTAAAACTAAATTAATCATAAAAATGTACAATCACCCCTACATGTTTTGACAAAGTCAAACGTGTGATAATGTTAATTATCACATTAATATTTATTACAATTTGATCTCTATGCACAGTTAAGTTTGCACATCATATTAATTAGACCTAGACGTTGTTGTCCCCTAAAGTATTAGGCCTATGATTGTTTTGTTTTTTTTTTCACCTGAAAGGTGATCTTAAAAAGACCTTATGTGTCGCTTTTTGCTCATTTTCCTTAATGTTTGTCAGTCAAAGCATTATATGATATTCAGTAGTTGACTTGAGCTTTGTAAGAGCTTTTAATCAAGACTTATTTTCATTTAAGAGTGAATCCAGCAAAGACATAGATTCAGATACTCTCTGGCTGGACTTCACTATAAATATTGACATTAAATGTCCCATTTAAATGTGGAAAAACTGCTTATTTACAGGGAGCAGGCCTGTCAGCGTGTGTTCACTGGCCTCTGAACGTTGCAAATTAATTTGCAGACTCAGTAGTTTGTTTCGCCAGCGTTGAGAGTTTTAAGAGAAGCTGGACTGAAACTCCTCCAACTCACTGTTGGTCATAAGCTATATATAAATTTTAACGCCAAACCTTTGGTGCTTTTCTGGAAATATTTACCTCATTTGCCAGTTGCCAGCACCATGCTGTGGCCTGGGTTTGGTAAATAAGCGGTGTTGAGCTGTTTCAGAGGTTTGATCTATCCTCAGCAGTGGAAGTGGTTTTGGTGCATTTTGTCTGAGGCGGACCCTTGTACAGTACTGTAATATGTGTGCTTTGAAGCCATGTCAGCGCATTGTAACGTACTGTGTTATGCCTTTTTTGTTTGTTTTCTTGGGAGGGAAGTTGATAATTGTTTTTCTACATTAATATTTCTTTAACAGAGGTTAAATATGTCAAAAGAAGAAACAGTCATTTTATAAAACAAAAAAATCACTTGTCATCATAAAATCACATCTTTTATGTATAAAAAAACTAAAGGCATGATTTTAACTTTTTCTGAGAACTTAGATGTTGTACTCAATGAATTAACTGAATTTTAAAAATGAGTGATTTCAAAGATTTCTTTCTCCAAATAAAAAGTCTTATATGGCTTCAGGCCAGCTGCTTGTCAAGCATTTGAATTATTATTTTTTTTCTCAAACAACGTTAAAGTGTGTGTACATGTGTGCTGGTGTTTGTACAAATCACAGCCCAGTGCTGTCTGGATATCAAACATAGGGTAAATACTTCCTTCTCAACCGACCTCAAGTGTTTGCCCCTAAAGTTTGATCAAATGATCTGTCTAAATGTGAAATGTTTAAATGTGAAAATAACTTTTCTTTGTTCCTTACATTGTTGATAGATTGTTTTTTGTGTTGCTGCAGCCATACTGACTTTGTCGATATTCATCACTCAACACAAAAGTCCTCTTAGGTGTTCTCTTATCTCAAGATCCCAACAAATGTATCAGGAAGACGATGTAAAAGCTGTCTTTTATTGAAGGCCCATACATATTCTTTTTTTTTTTCTCTGCAGCTTGGGCCTTTGAAGGTCTGGCTGGTCGTGGCTGAACTCTGGCCAGAAGGCATCTGTTACTCAACAACATCTGTTCCTGTTACTCTCTTTCTCCCAGCATGCCGAGGGACATGCAGGCTCTCCCAAGGGTGGCCTTTTGTGTGCCCCATTGTCAATTCCATCATTGTCTGCTGAAGTCTGTTCCCATAATGCCGCAGGGTTATAAACCCCACCAGAGGCCAACTCTACCGGGCTGATGATTTACAGTTATTTGTGTCTAAATACAATCAACGTCTTTGTGGGGCAATTAAGAAAGAAAAGGGAGGGAGATTTAAAGACGTACTTGTAAAAAAGAAAAGGCCATGTTAGATCTAAATGTAGACTGGCTTAACTTAAAGTTTATTTTCTCTTTTACCATCATCTCTTTTATCTGCGTTCAGATATGAGAGAACTTACTTACTACTTAAAGTATTAAAAGGAAATTCAGATATTAGTTGTAAAGAAGCAACTAAAGTTATTTTTGGTGGAAACAGAAAGGGTAGAAAACCAAAACCCAGTGTGTTAGATGTCCAGTAGGCGTAACTTTACATTGATCTGAATTTTAGAGCCATGAATTACCTGACTTGTTCTTTAGGAAGAGAAATAGGAGTGGTAAATCTAGCGTGGGGATATTGTTTTTTATGAATAGGCCCCCTCTCCCGTCTCCAGGGAGACACTTTCAACTTCTGGCAGTAGCCAACAGTGTCGGCATAGAAAAGCCCACTATGGGGTCGCCAGGGGAAGACAACAGATGTTACTGATTTACTTTGCTCACAGACCCCTGAAGAAGTGTTTTTCAGAGTGCTTGCAGATGAAAGAAAACAAGTTGGATGCAATTAAAAGTTCACGTTCAGCAATATTTATTTGGAAAAATAGTCTTGGCTAATTCCTTCATTCAAAAACGGTAAAGGAGACAGTAACATAACAATTTGTACAGTACAATCCCTCTTAAATAACATTTTCTTAAAAAAAAGTCCCATTGACCTGAAGTGCCTTTGCAAATATCATCATTAAAGAAAGCAACTTAAATAATCAACACAAACATGACAAATACACAATACAAAATAAAAATAACACAAAACCATTAAATTAACTTAAATTAAATCATAATATTAAATCATAACTTTTTTCTTGTTTTTTCTTTCTTTATTTTACAAAAGGACAATCTGTATCAAAAAGCAACATTTTTTTTATTAAGACAAAGTTTTTATGTCCCCAAAACAACAAAAACAATTGAACAATACTATGTCATAAATGGTTTGGAGGGCTTAGGAAAGAAAACGCACTTCAGTTAACACAGTGATCAAGTATACATACAGTCTTCACAGGTGTAGTGATGGGTGCACAGCCCATATGAACAGCCTCATGAAGAACAGGCCAGTATGGCCAAACATCCACCGTTTGATGCAGTTCCTGCGTTCAGCAACGGCGTGTGGGTTAGAGAAAAGGCCTGGGTGCAAATGTTGCAAAAACAAAAATCGTAGCATCGCACGTTATTGCCACGAGACAGTGTCCGTTTATATTTAATTTTTTACCCCCACTCCTCTATAAAAGGCAGACAGAACAGAAAGCTAAGTGGCAGTTTACTTTCAACCGTAAACTTTTTATTTTTTGCCCCGCCAGTTCCTATCCCACAGGCCGCCGCTGCCTGCGCTTAGTTTCCAGTAGAGAACCAGCTCACTCTGAATATCAGTTAAACGTCTCAGTATCAGCAGCAGTCTCAAGGCGGGACACCTCCCCCTAGGGTTAGAGCAGCATCTGAAGGAGTATAAAAACTCTCCCATAGAGCAAATAAGCAACGGGCAGCCCATTGGTGGCTCGTTACACCTGTAGAGACACAAAAAGACAAAAATCATTAGTGTTTGTTGGCCGAATGACCACAGACAGACGTCTTTTTACACCGAAAGGTAAAACAAAGTAAAATACAAAAACTCACCTCAGTTGCAATAATACATTCGTCCTTTTCCTCTGACATCACAAACACAGATTTGTACTTGGTGTCCGCACATGCAGACATTTCTGGGGCTTTCTTTTCTGATGCATCGCTTTAGGAAAGACAGAAACATGGTTAGTTTCATCAATCTGATAGCCTCAATGTTGCATTTTGTTTAAGACTGTCCAGTAACAAATGTTTACCATTTTAAACGTTTGCTGCGTTTCTCCTCAAACTCAAACGAGTCCAGGGATTGGCACTTGTCCTCGCAGGCCGCCTCCAGCATGGCCTCTTTAGCCGCCTGCTCATAGTTGACCTCGTGTACGAGGTTGTAGTCTGCAGGCGGATGGCGGCTCTTGTAGCTGCTCCTCTCTGGTGAAGATCCTTCATCAGGGTCACTGCTGCAGAAGTCCATCTTCTTGTTGATATTTTTTACGCCTGGTGTCGGCATCACACTGACTGCCAGGTCCCTGTCACTGCGGTGACAGTTGTTAGTCAGGTTGTTTATTGTCTCTCCCTCGCAGGCGGTTTCTACTTGACCGCCGCGCTGGGCTTTTGATCGGAAAAATCCAACAAGTACAGCGCATCCTGCCAGCAGCAGCAGCACCAGGGCCACACCGGACCCGATGGCCATCCAGGGCACTTCTGACCCGCGCATCGCAGCGTGCTCTGGAAGCAAGAACTGGCAGTTTCTGCCACCGTAGCCAGGGACACATGCGCACACGTAGCGGTTGTTTCTCTCGTGGCAAGTGGCGCCGTTGTGGCAAGGGTTGTGTTCACAGCGGCTGATGGGTGAGCTGCAGTTGCGGCCGGTGTATCCCGGTGGACAGGTGCAGGTGTACCCGTTAAGACCTTCCTGGCACGTCCCGCCGTTTTGGCAAGGATACATAGAGCACTCGTCGCCAGTGTGGTCACAGTTCATGCCAGTGAAACCATCTGGGCACTGACACAGGTATGAGTTGACAAGATCCACACAACGTGCACCTGAGAACAGAGATAAGGAGTGGCATAAATGTTTGATCTGAACACTGGAATGACATATTTTGACTTTTGTTTGGAGTAAATACAATTTCTATGGGATTACACAGTCTACGTGGTCAGTCACTCTTACCATTGGAGCAGGGGCTGGAGGTGCAATGGTCGATCTTCTTCTCGCAGTTGAACCCTGCGTATCCTGTGGGGCACTGGCAGAAGTAGCCTCCGTCAGGGTTGTCAGCACAGCGGCCTCCATTGGAACATGGGCCGTCAGCACACGTCATGGCACTCAGCTCGCAGTTGTTGCCATAGAAACCGTGAGGGCAAGTGCAGGTGTATGTGTTTTCCAAATCCTGTGAGGAAAAAATAGAACAGGCTTGAGATGTGTCTGCAGCTGCTACAAACCCTTTTCAATCTGAAAATCCTGCATGCTGTATCTGTTTGATCGTTTTATAATGTGACAAATGTGCCAGGTCACATTTATACATCGCTGGCACCGAGCAGCAGTTCACAGGATGTCCTGCTATTCTCATTCTAAGATCATTTAAGAAGGCCAAACAACACTTACAGTGCAGCTTCCTCCGTTGCGACAGGGGTTTCCAGCGCATTCGCTGACCTGGATCTCACAGCTGGCCCCAGTGAAGCCGGGCTTGCAGGAACAGGTGTAGCTGCCCTGACCAGTGTTGCTACAAGTGGCTCCATTCATGCAGGGCTTGTGGTGAGTGCAGTAGTTGAGATCTGGAAAGACACAGCAGCACATGTGGATTAGCCACAGCACAACACATGGCATGACAACAGCAGCAGTGACAGAATGTCTTTTTGTCCTCTGGCACACTTGACCCTTTCTCTTCTTCCAGTGTTTTTTTGTTTCCTGTGGCCGGCCTCCTGTCCTTGCTGTTCATCTCGAGACAACTGCTGCTCTACTCTCTCAGTGTTTGCGCCTTTTATGTTGGTATCTTGATTCCTTACTTTGTTCCTCTCCTATCGGCCTCTGTACAGACTTTACTAAGCAGTTTTCAGTGATGACAGACCAGAGAAGTGACATTATGCAAAGATTGTAAAAATTGGCCTCAAGAACACTTTGTCCACTTTCTGTCTCCTATTTTTCTCTTCCCAGTAAGTGTGGCAACTTACAACTGAGTTAAACCCAGAACCACTGATTTAGCTGAAGTGAGTTTTAGAATTTCTGTTTCCATCAGCATTTCAATGAATATTTTCCAAACGGGGCCTGCTTCATCAAGTTGAATCTCGAGTTTTATGCAACTTCTAAAAAACTCACTTTTAAGACGTCTTTCGACCAGCAAATCACCCTCAGTGCTTTTCTGGTTCCTTTCCTTCCTGTCTCTCCTCATCACTCCTTAACCTCCAACTCTCACCACATTCTCTCCTCACCTTGGTTGCAGAAGAGTCCCCCCCAGCCCTCCTGACAGTTGCACTGCCAGGGCTGCTGGCAGGTCCCGTGGAGGCAGCCTGGGTAACGAATGCACTCGTCGCAGTAGCGGCCTTTGAATCCCACTCTGCACCTGTTGTTGTCCAATTAGGAGGAAACACCGGTCAGTCCACTCACATTACTTAATACGTCCCACTAATTAATTAATTAATGCCCCAGTGAACTGGTGGAGAACACTTACTTGCACTCTCCAGGTTTCTCGCAGAAGC